TATATATATATATATATATATATATATATATATATATAAATATAATGTGTGCATTAGTCACTTAACGTAGGCTCCAATTAGCATGCCCAACAACACTGCCAGTAGTATCACAACTGCTGAATCTCAAGACTTTCTTGATAGAAACGGGTTGTTGTACGTGCCATTGTATCCCTTCCCGGGCAAAGTATGCATGAAATTACACCTTCTTTTTAAGCAATTATGCTGGTTCGTGTACGGTTTCAGACTCTCATCCTGAAGGTTTATATGTCTTTTTTTTTCATGCCCGAGACGTTGTTATTCCGCGTACAGGTGTGCAAATCCGAATTCGAGGAGGGCGAGAGTTTGAAGATCATGCCCTGTATACACCGGTATCACGAGCAGTGCATCTCCAAATGGCTGTGGTTACGGGGGACATGTCCAATATGCATGTATCATCTAGATAACGTGCTGAAGGAGCCCTCCCAGCTGTTCACTACCTAGAACTGAACTCTGGACGTGATGCAGAATGTATGCTTCTTATCCTTGGGAAAGTATTAGAGTGATGGCGCAGAATACGAACGCAAAACATCGCATGGCCAGTGCGAACAAGTCACAGCTGCCATTCATCTCAGGAGTATCCCTGCTGGCTCGGGGGCTTGGAGGATGGAGACACGTGTGTGTGCTATTAGACGCGGATTTAGATAAATGAGGGAGCGACAGCAGACGAAAAGGGTCTGCCGAATAAAAGAAAGTGTAGCATATCATACCATACGCGCATTTGTATCGAGTAGGGGAAATGCTCTAACCTCCTGTCCTCTCAACTTACGATGGTTCGTTGTGTTGTATTCGCTGATACAACTTTGACAGACAGTTGTACAGTGCGAGGTTTGTATTTCAGAACGCACCACTCACCTTTGCTGACCTCCCATCGTTCAGGGTTTTAAACGTTTTTTTTAGCTGATCCACACAGAGCAATGTTGTCTCTACATTACCACAGGCCATCAGCTGGGTAGGCTTCTCTCATCAGCTCTGTTGCAGCATTTGCGAACCAACATGTTCCTTATTTTCGACTGCACAGTCTTTCGTGCAGGCCGTATTGCCTATAATACGGGTAGATTTCAATTTAAAGTTAATTACTTATTCTACTAGCTCACTTCCTAAGCGTTTGCCGGATATGATACGGGTGCATTTTAATTTAAAAACAGTTACTTATTCTACTATCTCACTTCCTAAGCGTATCCCGGTTATTCTTCATGTTATGCGAACAAGTTCAGTACAGCTGTGTTTGCAAAAACTTAAAAAGGTGTTTGATTTAATACCTAGTTTTATGAATTGCCTTATCAGTCTCAGTCCCTTATTTTGACCTAAAAGATCGGCCCTTATTTTGCGGCCATTGGGGCGTGTAATAAATTCTCAGCGGTACCGGATTGCTCAAGGCGTCACTAGGGCTGTGACACATACGCACACGCGGGTTCAGATGAATACTGGAATAGGCGAGCCTGAGTGGCTGGGTTATATAAACCCAACACAGTATTGGTGGCACCTTCTTTTGGCGAGTCCTTATTTGGGTCAGCCACCAAACTTGCTGACGAATTCCCAGAGAGTTAGTTTCATTTGTGTTTAGCGCCTTACATGAGGTCAAGGTCCCCAATTTAAAAAAAAATCTAACTAGACGTAGCTTGTAATGGCCGGGTTTTAGGGTTTTGACAACAGCAAGACTCATAGAAGCGCAAGCATTGCGGTCATCGCCGCTTTCTTCGTTGCAGGAGATCATTACTATCATCGCGATGCTGTTGACGTGCTGCAGACACCGTATCAGCGTATCTGACTGTCTGTATCAGTCATCGACATGCGCGGTATCTCTGAATGGAATACAAATGCGTCAATCCATATATGTGTAGTTTTTATTTGTTAATATCTTCGACAATTATACTATCTGTCTGTCGATTCTGTTACGCGTGCGTGTGCTCAATTACTGTAGTAACTGAGGCCACGGAAGCTTATCCCAATCGCTTAATTTATTGCAGCAGATTAGGTTCGGTACAAACAGGCTTGGCCTACACTCTACCGAACTCGTGCTCATATGTCTGACCGATTTTCTGTGTCACTCGCAGCCCGAGCCTGTTCTATCACTTCACCACATCCAATTGTGGTCGTTGTTTTACAGACGCCGTGGTTCGAATGATCATCGGGGGCGATCATGCATATGCCCCCACAGTGGTGACAGGTGTGTCAAACCAGTCCTTAGCCCGTTTGTTGCCCTCCCACTTCAACTGCAACGACTTGAGCCGCTCTTCCTCGGCCAGCTTTGCCCCATCACCTCCCATAAGTTTGGCTGTGAGTGCCGCACGTGTAGTTCCGTCCAGCATTTGATCGGTGGGTTGCTGTAGGGTGGACGTGGCGAATGCTTGGTGAGATCAGATTGCGTGCGGTTGTGCTGGGACTGTATTGCAGTCGTGTGCCTGTGAGGTGGTTCGCCCTATCCTTTCTCCTGTTCAGTTGCATGGCAGCATTTAGTGCCGATTACATGCTGGCCACGATCTATGGCAAGTACTAGCTCAACAACGATAACAAATAGCAAAACCCAACGCCACTCAGGGCTTCGACGGGAAGCAACCCGGAAATTAGAAAATGGATCAGACAAGCGGGTTCACACGTATTTCCAAATCGCTAAAACCAATTTGAGACAAGATCAAGAACAATATAGCAAGTCTACTTCCTTAAACGAACCAAAACAACATAGGCCCCAATGTTGCATATAATCCCATTGCAAATAGTAAAACACGCGTGCACAAGACTATGAAACATGGTGCGTGTGTGAAGTGAGCGCATACTTGCGGATATGCCAAACGTGTGTAACGATAGTATCATATCGAGCGACCACCAAACAGCCACACAAACACGGCTTGGTATCAGAGAGGTTCGGTACCAACTGAACAAGTACGTGTACTTCCCTGCTTGCAGCTTTGAAGCAAACATGCACTGAGTGTTCATATAAATAAGACGTGTGTACATTTCGAGAATATGTATACAGGGAGGTTTCCCAAACACGCACCTGCACTCGCTCTGAAGTCAAATATCCAATATTTTAACTTACCCCAACACCGACCATCCCCGCAGAGGGTCTATAGTCCTACTCGACGTCATGAGAAGATAGGATAAAGAAACATACACGAAAGGTGAGCAATACGTAGGCGATCAATACACAGACATTTGACTACTTAAACGAGTGTCCACGGATATAGATTGAACGAGAATCAGAGCAGGAGCGAGAATCAAGGACAAAGGTAGCTAACAAAAGACATTTGCTAAGGCAGTTATTAAATGAAGGAGAAAAGACCGGAACGAGGGTAAGTTCAGAGAAAATCGATATATCAGCTTCAGACCAATTCAGAATGGAAAGCCTGGCAAGAAGTGAGATAGGTGCAGTAAATTAAATTCTAAATCAATGCGTGACAGACTTCATAAGTGAGATAAGAGCAGTAAATTAAATTCGAAATTAATGCAAGACAGACTTCATATGTGAGATAAGTGCAGTAAATTGAATTTTAAATCAATGCAAGCCAATCTTTACTTCATACCAATCTTTAGGGTTCACGACTGCGAGAAATCGCCTCAACATGAATCGAGTGCGTTTGAGCACCTACTCACACACGCGACAATGGCCTAGTCTCTCAATTAAAGCCCGATTACTCAACGCTGAACATTGCGAATCATTCACTATAAACGCTGAATATTGCGAATCATTCACTATAAACGCTGAACATTGCGAATCATTCACTATAAACGCTGAAAATTACGTTTCATTCACTATCAACGCTGAAAATTGCGAATCATTCACTGTACGGTGATAAAAAGCTCATGTACGCGCCTCGGATTACAAGCTCGTCAGCTTTCATACAAGCTCTTTCAAAGGCAACAAACAATAAACAAATACACAGGTTTCATTTTCCTAACCGCGCACACAACCCTCTTGATTTTCAGTGACGCTGAAGTTATCAGCCGAGGAGAAGGGTACCGAACATCCGACAAATACACGCTAATACAGTACGAACCTCCTGTCTGGCCCTCTTGACTGACGCTATGCTAAACGAGTTTTGTCTGTCAGTGGTTGATCGCTTGGTTGCTGATGTACTGGCGGTGGAGCTGGAGCGAGAGTAGGCCACCGGCGCCGCAGCCACAGAGCCTGTGGGCACTACCCACTGCTGTTTGCCTTTCAAAACAATCTGTGTGCGAAGGACACGAACTGACCACATCAGACGATTGTCACGAATGAACACATCGGACCATGGTCACGAATGAACACATCAGACGATGGTCACGAATGAACCGAGACGCTGAATGATACAGCTGGGTGTAATCGTTGACAGAGTGCAACATTGAATAGCAATCGTACTAACCATGAGCAAGTTAAGACTCAACTGCCCCCAGCGATGCAGACAGTACACCAACGAGTATAAGGTATTTAAAGGAGGCTCTTGGCGACGAAGTGCTGACGTACAAATACAGTTAACTAGACCAAACAACTGTCCCATTGGTAGATCATTTTTTTTGAGCTGGCGTTGCAAGTGAGTTCATCGCTCAAATTGGTTCCCCTGTTCATTGTTGAAAAACACATGACATGACGCGACCGAGGAAACGGTGGAGAGGAATGGGGCTGAAAACTGAATTTGTCGAGAGACTTTTGTTTTAAAGTGAAAGGCCCCGCAACCTGGCAATCAGGAATCATATTCTATGAGAGGGGTTGGACACCAGTAAACACAACTAATCTGTGTTCAACTAATTGTGTTCAACTAATTCGTGTTCAACTAATTCGTGTTCAACTAATTCGTGTTCAACTAATCTGTGTTCAACTAATTCGTGTTCAAATAATTCGTGTTCAACTAATTCGTGTTCAACTAATTCGTGTTCAACTAATTCGTGTTCAACTAATTAGCTTCCACAAGAAACAATACCTGCAATACGTCAGGAAACTTCAAAAGAAACTCCTTCAATTTGTATCCATATTGAACCTGGTCTAGAGATTTGAGGAATATCTCCTTCCACTTTGTCTTGACTCCGGATAGAATACACCCTCCAGGCCCAGTTTCGCGCAGAAGAATTCGAAACATATCGGTGTATATTTCGTGCACTGAAATGTGGTCAATTTGGATGTTGTGCGTGGTTAGAGTTTAATCTTTTAGAGTTTAATCTTCTGAGAAAACTAATCGGCAGAGAATGCAGCAGCTTATAAACGTCTTGAACAGGAATGTGTGTATTTAACATAAGTCGCAAAACCAAATTACCGTCAATCTACAGACAACGTGAAACATTTATATATATACACACAAGCCTACATAAAAATTGTGGAGGGGCATGAAAACACACATCAATCTAGATTCGAATTATACGTACAGAATATTTACTTATTTATATATAAATTAATATATAAATACATGTATATAAATACACGA